CACGCACGCACGCACGCACGCACGCACGCACGCACGCACGCACGCACAGCTTGGAAGCCTAAGACACAGATCTCTGACTAGTTTAGATTCCAGTCTCCTACAAATTTTGTCACTTCAGAAAATAAGATATGACTGTATGTCAACAATTGTAACCAAAATTTGTGGAGAAATAAATTTATTATTATTATTAATATTATTATTATTATTCATAATCAAGTTGTTTCAACAAACATAGCTAATTTTAACAAATATTACATTTTATTTATTGCATATATTACAAGCATAAACACTGCAATATATTCTTTACAAAACTCTTCTCACTTAACTCTTGTTTAATTTTGTTTGTTTCTAAACTGACATAGTTTAACGGACTGGGTTAAAAATTTCACTGAATTAAAAATCACTATAGAGTTGCTATTGTTGTCTTATTGTTTGTGGTTAGAACTTGATTATATAAATGCACTAACTTGGCTAAAATAAATAAGTCTGACCTGCATTGCATGATGAGGTCCCATACCGAGTCCTGCACTAGCAACTCTCATGAGCTCCACAGTATTCAAAGCAACAGGGCGCGATTTCACTTTCTCCTTGGCTTGCACATTTATCACACTGCAAAAATTAAAGTACTTTTCAATAAGTAAACAAAAAATATAATAATAATAAAATCATTATTTTAATAAGTAATATGTTACTTTCATACAATTAAAAAATTATATAATAACCTCACAGGAAAATGAGAAATAATGAAGGTGATAGATGCAAAGTCACTACAGGTTGCAACATAAAGAAAAATTTACAAAATGGAAAATAACTAACATAGCTTCCTTTATCTCTTTGATACCAGCAAGGAACATATTAGCAATTTCCTTCTCAAAGCATCGGACCCTCTTCCATTCCAAAGGCAATTCCCTCCCTTCTGAAGTAGAAGCAGTCACACGTAACACCCAATATGTTTCTGGTTTAAATGTTTGAATTTCATCATGACGTTGCACACAGAAACCTAAGGTTGGTGTTTGACAGGGACCGTAGGATATAAGTGTAGAATCTAAGTCTCCATATCTCCCTGCAAATTTAAATGTGAGTTTTACGGTTTCATATATCAATAGCTGTTTAATATAATTTTAAAAAATTTTAGATTTCCTACGTAATTAAAAAATAGTTGCATACATAGGAAGGCTGAAATATTTTAAATAAAAACAGAGTGTCAGGTAATTTAATAACCATAAAAGTATAATAGAAAATCCACAGCAATTATGTTTATGAGGAAATACTTAGGAGACAGCAAACTGAAGCCAATGTACGAGATTCAAGCATAAAATTGAATTTAACAAGAAACATACGGCTGCTTTCTGTTTGCAAAATCTTCTACAATCTCTTGTAGTCTTGACAACAAAACAATAAGTTGTAACTTATACAACTTGTTGTTTTGTCGTCAAGACTATAAGTATTAAGTAGGTACATACCTTGGAAATATTTAGTTTGAAAACGAGTAAAAGCACAACCAATACGTAAGTCAAGTTCCTGTCTAGCATCAACACTTCGAGATTCATTCTCATTTGGTCTAACCAGGCTAAGCATAGCAGCTTTGATATCTTTGTCTGTGATGGCCGAGAACCTGGCTCTGTACGTTACATGGGGAGAGAAAACATCCCCTTTCATATATGCTTGAACGCAATTCATTACCTAAAACGCAAAAACAGATTGTGAAAAAATTATGAAAAATGCAATAATCATCTTGAATAAATAAGCAAGTAATTTATTTGTACATAAAAACAATAAGTTTTGTTACTTAATTTTGTCTCTTGTACAGAGCCTCTACACTTCTTTTAGTAACAGCAAGGTGCGATTATGTTGTTTAATGTTTATGCATTGTCAATTTATTATACTGTGATTTGCTTTGTCAAAGCCAAAGTCAAGATAGTCTATGCAACTTGCAACTTTATTGGACTTTGGTAACTGGGTTAAGTTGTGTACAGTCGATGTCCTAAGATACCTGACCCTCTACCCAACCTTTAGGTTCTGCGAGCCATTTTACACTTTCAATAGAAGTGTTAAAGGAATATATGTTATAGATTGAATTGGTTTAAGTTTCTAAAAATCATTAACTAACAATGCAGTCAGGAAGTTATGTCAAAATGAATTTTACAGGTTACACTACTTAAAGATTAAGTTTAACACTTTTCTTCACACTTATCTACTCAGAACCTGATGATCAGTTAGGTGGTCAGGTATCTTAGGGCGCATAGTTATACACATAATATTGACATGATTATATAAAGTAATAAAGAGGAATTATGACATAGGTTGATTGCTATTTACGAATGAATAAACGCAAACTAATTAATAATTTGTAGAATTCACTAACCTCAAAACAAATATTTTCTCCCTCTTTATCACAATCAAGCCATAATATAAGATAGTCACAGCCTTTCGATTCCTGGCTCAAAAACGCCGGTATTCTTAACCGAGGCATAGCTTCTTTCTTCTCCGTTGGGCAACTGAACAATTCCACGGGATCTACTTTGTCCCAATTATTATATTTGCCAGTGAAATCCAAAGACATAACATGACCGCATACAGAAGTCATTTTAAACCGCACCGCCTCATTTTTAAAAGTCCCGTTCCATTCGTGAATTGCGCAAGCGTTGTTGGAAGCTATAAAATGTAATAACAACAATCTGAAATGTGATCAAATCTGCCTAATGTATGTATACGATCATCTAAATTTTGACATCAATTTTACCTTTATTTGTTGAACATTTTCCGTTGCTTAGAATGCTAGCGAGATTTTGCGCCAATGACGGCTTTTCAGCCACCATCAAAGCCGTCTTCATGGCGTATTCACTTCAGATAGAAACCATGAAATTCAACACGCGTTACTTCGTAGTGCCGTCAACTCAGGAAAAAAAATTTAATGACATTTCCTTTCCTTCCTAGCTATCATGGTTGCCATTTGATTTTTTGTTAATTCCCGACTAAAAGTGAATGTAAAAGTGTTTCTAAATTTCCTGAGATTAAACTCAATTCCAATTCGTGTACTCTAATACATAATTATTATTAACTGCCTCCGTGGCCGAACGGTTACCATGCCGGACTGCCACGCAGAGGTCCTAGGTTCGATTCCCGGGTCAGGAGAAATATTTGTATGGCCTATATTTATTTCTCTCGTGAGTTTGGGTGTAATTTGTGGTTGTCTATGTGTGTGTCCATGGCACCCGCGACACAGGGTTTCCTAGTGCGGGGCTATGTTGAGTGTGTGCGTTATTATTATTATTATAATAATAAAATATTATTAACTACAAAATAACTATTTAATAGTCCAACTCATAGTACCGACTCATATTAAGGATATCTAAATAAATTACTACTAATAAATTACTACATATTACTCAACCACTTAAGGACAATGCGAATATTCAAATGTCGCTGTTATACTGCCATAGCCGTAGTGGAATGATACAGAATAAATAAACCTAATACATAATACTATACTTAATAAGAATAATAAGTTAAAATTGCATACACAAAATAAATAGGATTAAAACTAAAATTAATTAGACAACATAATTAAATATTACAAAATTTGATATTGCTGCAAATAACTATGTTGTAAGGCAAACGTTTTGAGATTGCGTCAAACAGCCGCAGAAAGTTTTTTTTTAATTTAGGTTGTTAGTTTTTCTGTTTAAAGTAGTCACTGAGATTCTGCCATTCAAAAAGAAAGAGTTTGACCGGGTACTTAGGTTTTTACACATTGAAAATAAAACTATTTTGTCGGATCTAAGCCGCGTCTATTTTTGTGAACCAACGTTCCGGGTTCTTTACAGTTACGTTACAACAATTTACGTTAAGTACGATTTGCAAAATACTTAATTTCATTATTTTAATACAAATTTTATGTTAAATCAAATTTACCAATTAAAAGGAACACCGTCTATTACAGCAACACTTTACAATTATTGACGTTTTGGAAAGCGTTTTGAAACTTAAACTCATAAGCCTCTACATAAAAATTTTCATATTGTCTTTTTTCATAAGGGAGTGCTAAATGTTCACGTTAATGAATAGGAAACTTAACAAACGCAAGAATATTTATTTTTTTATTTATAATTTTTTCGTCTATGTTTCGTTATTCTTATATATTATTATTAAGTTACTTCATGTTATGAAAAAAAAATTACTAAGTATCTGAAAACAAATGTCATTAAGCGTACTGGATTGCTTGTGGTTGGGGGTGCGCCTCTTGCTATGATTTGATTTGATACAAATTGCTACGGAAACCTTAAATAATGCGTGGACAATAAATAAAATGTTCACGGAATAAACGCAAATACACATTCACGTGAGAAAAGTGTTATTTGCATCTGTATTAGTAAATTGTCGTGCGTCACAAGTGTCTACCATGGTGAGTTGGTGACAAAATTGTATAATTTGTTTATTTATATAACTGGTTGCGTAGACAGTGCATGTGAAAGTGTATTGTTATTGCAGAATGTGGTCCGCGGTGACGGCATTTGCCCGACGGCTCACCTGCGAGTGATCCTTCCGGCGCCCGTTGATCAGAACATGCCACCTCCGCCGTTTCACGATATCAGTAAGCTCATTGCAAATATTGACTTATCGCTCACCAGTGCCACAAGTTCATTGTTCCCGCTACCTGATAACACCGTGACATATGTTAAGCTATTGAATATACACAACTTTTGTTATCTTGCTTTGTTGCATTGGTTTTTTCTGTGTAATGTCCATTGCGAAATTAAATGAGTAAATAATTTTGTTTTTAATACATCTTGTAAAATTAAATTTCCTATGTGATTGGGCTCAACTTTAGTATATGTGGCATCGAATTGGGCATTCAAATTAATTTTGGAGATAGACCTAGTTAAAAGGAACCCCTCCACAAATGTTCAGTTTTAGGACGCCAAAAGTTTTCGAGAAAATGATTTTTGAAAATCTTGAAAATTAAAGCAAAAAAACGCATTTGACAACTACCTAATCCGAAAATTATGTCAAAAAAGCACGCTGACGCAATTTAATGTCTTGCGTTTCGACATTCCACTGTAATGATATCATGTGTTGTTCAAATTTTGAAAGTATATTATTTTTTTTTTTCTTTTGTGTATTTGGCTTCTGTCCCACTGAGGACAATTCTGCCAGTGTCCGGGTTGAAAGATACACGGTATATTTATCAAGATTCACTCAAATGACGATGATCGGTTGCACCATCCTATGGACAAAGACAAAACACGGGGTTATTCGACTAACTACTTTGGATGAAAAGCGTAAACACATGCTGTGCACATAGTAAAAGTTACAACCGTATGTTATTTTGTTCAATATATTTAAATAGAGTAAATAGTAGAGGAGGTTTTAGGGGAGAAAGGATACTATAAAAATTTGTGGGACGAGGGATACAATCTGGAAGAAGATCGTATAGAGAGACGGGATATAATGCACAGTTAAAAAATATATGGTCAAGAGTTCCTTCTTCAAGACCACACTCACAAAGGGAATGATCCCTTATCCTGAGCTTAGCAAGAAAAGTGGGTCTGCAGTTATGTCCTAGGCGCAATCGGATGATAGTTGAAGTTGTTCTTTTACTAGCCTCGCGGAAATCGAAAAACCAAGGTTTCTTGGGTATTACTGGTTGAAGACCAGCATAATATTTGCCTTTTTGTCTGCTAGAAGACGACCAGTAAGTCTTCCAGTTATTGTGTAAATCAATCTTAGCCTGGGAGCGTAAGTCTTGAGAAAAACATTTATCATATATAATGGTACCAGAATGGATCGCCCATTTAGCCCATCTATCCGCCTGTTCGTTCCCAGGAATGCCAGAGTGTCCAGGAACCCAAACAAGAGCAATTTGTATGCCAAGATTAGAGCAATTGTAAAGGAGTTTTTTTGTTTTAAGATTGATTGGGTGAACATCTTTGCTACGAAAGGGGAATTTTAACAGATCGTCCAGGCAGCTACGAGAGTCTGTAAAAATTACAGATTTGTCTAATTTGTGGGATACAACATATGAGACTGCTTCAAAAACAGCGATCACCTCACCCGAATATACGGACGCTTTAGAGGGTGATTTAAAAGTTAAGGAGATATTAAATGTAGGGATCCAGACGGCAGAGCCAACAAAATCATCTGTGGTGGATTTGGAAGCGTCTGTAAAGATATTGAGCCAACCGTTCCATTTCTCATTAACGATTTTATTAAAAAGTATTCCAGCGTTAGGGTCATCTTTGACAATTCCTAAATTGGTAACAATGTTGGGTTTAAAAATTAGTGCATCAAAATCAATTAAAAACAATGGATTACCAGAGTATTGATTGATAGGGGGGCCGATGAGAGATTTGTTAAAGCTTTTTAAAAGGCATGGAGGGTCCTTATGTTCCCAGTATTTAGAAGTTGTAACAAGGTTCGCTAGTTGAGTCAAGGGGGCAAGTAAGGGGTGGGCAGAATTTTGTAAGATTTTGAAAAAGAAACGGTCGCACAAGTACTGACGACGGAAACATAACGGGGGATCTAGGCTCTCGACCTGCATGGCATTGATTGGAGATGATTTCATCGCTCCTAATATAACACGAAGACACCTAGCCTGTATATTATCCCAATAGTTAACAGCGGATTTGTTACAGGGTTCTAATAAAAATGAAGCGTAATCAAAATGACTCCTTATTACAGCATTGTAGATCAATTTTTGGGTATAAGGGTGGGCTCCCCACCACACTCCACACAGAGCTCTAATAATATTTATACCCTTTTCACATTTATTTTTAATATAATTTAGGTGAGGGATTCCAGTCATGTGGGAATCAAAAAAGAAGCCTAGAAATTTAACCTTGTCGTGTACAGGGATCAGTTCATCATTTAGGAAAATTTGTATATGTGGGACACGTCTTTTTCTTGTGAATACTACTATAGAGCTTTTACTGGGTGATAGGAGAAGGCAGTGATTAGTGAGCCAATCTTGCAAGTATCTAATAGCAGTATTTAGTTGGATAGTGCATTCATCAAGAGACTCTGAGGAATAATAGAGTGCTAGATCGTCTGCATACTGTAGAATATCACAGAAGCAGTCAACAGATTTATCAAGGTCAGCAGTGTATAGACTATAAAGGATGGGGCTCAAGACAGAACCTTGTGGGAGTCCCTTCCATATCATTCTGGGGGGGAGAAGAGAACCATTGATACGTACCGAGATGGAGCGAGACATTAGCATGTTATAAATGATGTTAATCATCCTCACTGGTAGACTCAGCTGATGCATTTTTTGCCTGAGTAGCGGGAGATGAACATTGTCATAGGCGGCTGTCACGTCCAGGAAGACACCAACAAAGTATAATCCTCTGGTGAGTGCGAGCCTGATCTCAGTAGAAAAGGTACTGAGGCTGTCAAGAGTGCCCATACCCTTACGGAATCCGAACTGCGACCTGGATAGAAGTCCTTTGCTCTCCAATATCCACTCTAATCTATTTTTGATAAGGTGTTCCAATGTTTTGCATAATACTGATGACAGTGCAATGGGTCTATATGAGGCAGGATCCCTTGGATCCTTACCTGGTTTAAGAATAGGGATAACAACTTGAAGTTTCCAGGAGTGTGGAATATCACCATTTTCAAAGACTTTATTGATAATATTAAGTAGGACAGTTTTCGAAGAATTTGAGATGTTCTTAATAAAAGAGTATGGGATACCATCGATTCCAGGTGTAGAGTCTCTTAGGTGGTTCAAAACTGAAGACAGTTCTACGGAGGAAAATGGTTGATCCATTCTATCATTAGAGTTGGGGGAAAATGGGTGAGGGAAACAGTCCATAGATGGCACAGAAGGAGGGGCCAATCTATTAATAAAGTCATCGATCCAAGTTGAGGGCTCATTACAGGAGAAAGTATTGGATACACAAGAGCCTGAAAACTTTTTAAAATTTTTCCAAACTAGAGAAGATTTTACACGAGGAGAGAGATTCTCGCAAAACTGAGACCAGCCAAGGCGCTTCTTTTTTGAGAAGAGCTTTTTGGATTTAGCATTGAGCTTCTGGAAGGACAAAAAGTTTTCAATAGTAGGATTATCCAAAAAAAGTTCTTCAGCTCCATTGCGTTCTAGAATAGATTCTGTACAGTCGGAGTCCCACCATGGGGGGGAGGAGATGGTGTCTTTTTTAGATTTTTTAAGAGGGATAGAGAGATCAGCAGCAGAAAGCAGAATGTTAATGAAATCCTCATAGATTACAAGGAAATTCTCATTTGTAATTAGTGGGAGTAGCCTAGTTTTAACTTCCACTAATGAAGAGAATTCATCCCATTTAGCCTTATTCAGTTTAAATTTAAGGAGGGGGGTTGCAGGCGGTGCCAACTGGACAGACTGAGCGAAAGTTATTATTATAGGAAGATGGTCACTGCCATAAGAATTGAAAAGTACTCTCCAAGAGAATTTGGAAATTAATTCAGAAGAAATTAGGGAAAGATCAACACAACTGGGATTTTGGGCGGGAGAAGTTCTTCTCGTAGGGGAACAATCGTTTATAACACAGAGATTGTTATTATCAAGCATGCCAATAAGAAAGGTGGCAGGAGATGAACAATGGTTAGAGCCCCACATTGTGTGATGACAATTAAAATCACCAAGCACAACAAGAGGGGATGGGAGAGAAGCAAGGATGGAGTCTAGTTCAGTGAAGATAGATTGATCAGGATGGGGGATGTATACTGAAACAAATGTTATGTTTAAAGCTCTAGCTGCTACGACATTAAAATTCGGGGAGTGAGAAGGAAGGTGTAATAAAGAATAAACAGTGGGTCTTTTAATAATTAGAGCACAGCCATCATATCCATTGTTGTTATCATCCCTGAGGCATGAGAAACCAGGAATCCTAAAACGCGAAGATGGCTTTAGCCATGTTTCCGAGATAGCCAGGATGGTGGGCTTATAGTTATTTATTAAATCAATTATTTCATGTTTTTTATGACGTATTGACTTACAGTTCCATTGTAGGATTGGGGTCATTATTAATATGGATTAAAGAGTTTAATTTATTCAGTGATTGAATGACATTGTTCGGTAGGGAATCATCAAATTTAGAAAGAATATTGATAAGTGTGTTGATAAGTAATTCAATAAGATTTTCGTTTCTGGAGGTATTGTTTGATAAGTCTGAATTAATAGCACAACCATTAGGTTGTGAGGACTGCGGAGTCATAATAAGGGCATTGTGGCTTACTTTATCGTAACCGGGTTTTGGGGAAACCCAGGGTCGGCGTTCAAAATAAACAGTTTTTCTTTGGGAGGAGCTTGGGGAAAGAGGGGGGAAATTATGAGGTTGAGAGGTCGTAGGAGAACATTGGGTTGCTGCAGGAGGTTGAGCTGTCATAGGGCGAGTGCTGTCAGCAAAAGATTTACGTACAGTCCGGAATCTAAGGGAAGCCTCTGAGTATGGGATGTTTTCTGTTGACATAACAACCTTAATAGATTTCTGTCTGGCTTGTTCAGGGCAAGAGGGATCCGTGGCCATATGGGGGCCACAACAATATAAGCACGTTGGTTGGGAGGTACCACAAGAATCTCCAGCATGTGGTTGACTACATCTGAAACACCTGGGCTTTGAACGGCATTGGGCTTTCACATGACCAAAGCGGCAGCAATTGTTGCACTGTATGGTTGGTAGGGTATAGATCTCTACCGGAAGGGATGTATGATAACACAGGACTCTTTCAGGTAGCTCTTTGCCGAGGAATGAGACCATTACTGTTTGGGAGGGGATCCAATGTGGTTTGTTATCAATATATTCTTTCCTGTTTAGGCGTCTGGCCTTAATGGCTTGGGAGCCATTAGTGCAATCAATTGACTTGACCAGTTCTTCCATAGTCCACTCTATCGGAATGTTTCTAACAATACCATTTCTTATCAAGTGAAATGTGGGGATAATAGCTTTGTAAGAATTCGTGGTGAGGAGAGAATTTTCAATAAATTTGTTTGCGGATATTGCACTAACAAAAGTAACTACTACCCGATTGCGCCCTGTAGCTTTGATACCGTCTTTTGCAATCCCATGTATACCATTCTTACTTAGGAACTGGGCAAACGTCAGTAATTTGATTGTAAGACCAGATGAGGGGTTGGACTCTTCTCTCGATACGTGAACTATAAATGGACCCTTATCAGATTCACTATATTTTAATTTCATACCGTCAGCAAATTCGGGTAAGCTGTAGGTTTGTTGGGCAGATGCATTTGGAGGGGCGTTTGAAGAACGTTTCGGAGGTTGCTCCGATGTAGTTTGGGAGGAAGATGCTTCATCACTGGCACGTTTTTTAGGCCTGGAATTAACATTTTGGGTGGGATAATGGTCGAAATCCATTTGAGATTCCGGGTTCAAGAAACCGCCAGTGGAGAAGCCGCCTCCCCCATCAGGGGGATCATCGTCGTCCATCACCAGTTAGTATCTAAATTTACCTTCACAAACACAACAACAGCACCACAAAGTATACAAAATAGGCAACCAATTTCACTCGGAAAGTACCAATTTAAATTTCGACACGTGTATACTGACAGGAGCCAGACACTCGACCTCAAGTATATTATGTTTTATTGGTTTTCTAAACACTATTACTTATTTAATAGCATTTACATTATATTTAAAATATTATTTCTTAAGAAGTTTACTTTGAAATCGTAATGATGATTCAATGACAACTTCGTAATTTCAACAATAAAACGCAATGCCATTTTTTGCGTGTTTTTTTTTCTTATTTTTCTTGGCTTTTCACGGTAAGCGTTTTAGCCATTTACAGAGTGTTTTTACTGCATATTTATGTTGTTGTTTGTTCTGTATGAAGATTGTTAGGTTTTTTTAAATTACAATCGCAAAAGTCCCTCTCGGCAGAAACGAATTGGATTATTTAGAAACTAATTGGATTATTTAGGGTAAGTTAGCTTTTTTAGACAAATACGGAAGTATCTCTGGGCAGAAACAAATTGGATTATTTAAGTTAAGTTACGTGTTTTTTTATACAAACGCGGAAGTCCCTCTGGGCAGAAACGAATTGGATTATTTAGGTTAAGTTAGGTTTTTTTCAGTCCCACATAACCCCGGCTCTGCCCCTGCGGGGCCGGGATATCTGTAAGCAGATTCCCCCATATTAACAAAAAAAAAAGGTTTTTTTATACAAACGTGGAAGTCCCTCTGGGCAAAAACGAATTGGATTATTTAGGTTAACTTATGTTTATTTATTACAAACACAGAAGTCCCTCTGGGCAAAAACAAATTGGATAGATATCGGTAAACACTAAAAGTCAAAATATGTGACTTTGAGGTTATTTTTCACAATTTTTTTTCTCGAAAGCTATTAATATTTTTAGTTTGAAACTTCGTGAGAGGGAGGGTTCCCCTCGCCTCCACCTCATTCCCACATTTTATACTCTTTTTTCCGTGCATTCCTGGCGCCTATTTTGCGTGCATTAAATTATTTGTTCATTATAGTAGGAAAAAGAATAAGTGCTAGACATTTATAAATGTTATTAGCGCAGTTGTAAACGTTATATTCATATCATCTCAGGTTACACTAAGGAGATAAAAATATGACTAATAAGTACTATAAATACAGTATTAATTTATACTAATAGGTTTGATAAGAAAATAAATATGAAATAGGCCAATTCTGTGTGTAAAATATTTGATAATAAAAGTTTACTAGCTGACCCCTGGCAAGAAGATTAGATTTGTGAAATACTTATAATCAAATTTGTCAATTAACACTGGTAAATGGAAAGTAGTATAAATTATTACGTCACTATTGACCTAAATGGACAGTTGGTTGCAAAAGTGTAGCGACTATCAGTGCTCAACACACTGTGCTTCATTGCATACTACAATTTACAATTTGTATTTTATTGATATAAGCATAAACTGTTTTTATTTTTAACCGACTCCAAAGAAAGGAGGAGGTTTGCAATTCAACTGTATGTTTTTTATGTATGTTACGCAATAACTCCGGCTCCATTTGTGAACCGATTTTGATGATTCATTTTTGTTGGAAAAAGGGTACCCCAGATGTGGTCCCATTTAAATTTGAAGAAAATATACCACCTCTAAGAGTGGCAAACTAGGGGATACATGACTTTTGAGGTCGGTTTTTTTTTGTACTCTGTACTGTTTTGTTATTATATAAGACTACACACAACTGTGATTTAAAATTTAGAATTCACATTATAGTCGTCTCCAAATAAGAGGCCACATTTGACAGCTTCTTTGTGGCAACTTTGAATACAATCAACGAAACAATGAATAAACAATTATTAGCATTATTGAATTTAAAAAATACATAAATTTTAATGCAACATTATATAATATGATAAAATATATTTGAATTACTGTTTTCGCATTAATTACAATATAAAATGCAATTTTGAGTTACTCAGAAACGTCCTGAACAGTTACGTCCTAAAGCTATTTTTTTTAATAATAGTGTTGTAAGCAATTAATCGCCGAATTTCACCGAGTCACTTCGATTTCTCGGAAAAAATATTGCTTATTAAATATTAAAACAAAAATGTATAAAAATAGGTGTATTTGAAATAATTATGTATATGTATATAACATCTCTGACCACACTTATTGCAAATAAATTTATAATTAATAAATTTATAAGAGCCCCGTACTTCTAGCCAGATTTGTATTACCTTTTCATTTTTGCAAATTTTGAATTGTCAAACTGATACCAATCCAGCGGGACCCGGAGCCCGCATCCGCGCACCGCGCAGTCTTTCGCCATCTTGGAAGTTGTGCGCTTGGTTATTTTTTATGTATTTTTCTTGTGACCCGGCTTTGCTTTTCGACTGTTCCTGTTTTCTAAATTATGAACATAATTTGAGATTGTTTGTTGTTGTCACCGACAACTTTTAACTAATTGTCAGCCGAATAATTGAAAATTGATGAAATCCTTGGTTTCTTGGAATTTAATCTTTTTTTGTAGTTGTTTTATCGCTGAACGTAAATACGTTACACTCACACTAAATTCTTGTAATAAACCATTTATGTATATTAATTATAAAATCAAAATTATAAGAATTGTATACAATTCATCGGAATGTGGGAGAATTTTACGAAAATGAGAGGAATTGCTACAGAATTGCAAGGAATTCTGTAAATGAATTCCTTTTAACAGAATTGCACGATTTGGTCTTTTAGGTCTCCTGAACAGCAATGAACCGAAAAGTAATCTAAACAATTACAAACTTTTAAAATTTTGAATCGATTTCTCGTGAAAATCGTATAATGTGATTACCCATATGATAAGTCCACATCTCTATTCGCGTCACGATGACAAGGGTCAAATGTGGCCTCTTATTTGATGACGACTATAATAGGTCATACTGCACTGTGCCTTAGAACTGCTATTGGTTACTGAATATAAGTAAGTGTAAGTGTTTGCTTGTTTTTTATAGGTAATATACAAGATATACCACCACCTCAGGCAGATTTCTCAGCACCGCCTCCTTACGATGTGGCTGCCAACTCGAAGCTGCCCACTTATGAAGAAGTGCAAAGGGAAAAACAGATGGAGGGCGAGGGACTTCCACAGGTAATAATTATAAATTAAATCTATAGAGACATATCTCACTTAATGCTAGTCTCGGAAGGACTTTAGTAAAAGAGACGTCAGGGGGGGGGGGAAGAAACCACCTCGGCAATAAAAAAATTCAAAGTTAGGACGTTGATAGTTTACGAGATATTAATTTTTGAAAATTCGGAAAAAATAACCTCAAAATTATATATTTCCGCATCAAATGCACGGAAAAAAGGGTAAAAAATGGTAAAAAATAGTTATCGGGAAAAAATTGTGAAAAATAACCTCAAAAGCATATATTTTGACAATATCTACCTATATCGATCAATTCGTTTTTGCCTAGAAAGACTTCCGCGTTTACCCTATATATATCCAATTCGTTTTTGGCCAGAGGGACTTCCGCGTTTGTATAAAAAAATACCTAACTTAACCTAAATAATCCAATTCGTTTCCGCCCAGAGGGATTTCCGCGTTTGTATAAAAAAACCGAACTTAACCTAAATAATCCAATTCGTTTCTGCCCAGAGGGACTTCCGCGTTTGTATAAAAAAAACCTAACTTAACCTAAATAATCCAATTCGTTTCTGCTCAGAGAGACTTCCGCGTTTGTATAAAAAAAACCTAACTTAACCTAAATAATCCAATTCGTTTCTACCCAGAGCGACTTCCGCGTTTGTATAAAAAAAAACCTAACTTAACCTAAATAATCCAATTCGTTTCTGCCCA